CCTCCCTCCTCCTCCTCCTCCTCCTCCTCCTCGTCCTCCTCCTCCTCGTCCTCCTCCTCCTCCTCCTCCTCCTCCTCCTCCTCCTCCTCCTCCTCCTCCTCCTCCTCCTCCTCCTCCTCCTCCTCCTGCATGTGGCACATTTCGCTCCAACAGAACCCGCGTTGATCCCGTTTCATCGCCAGCGCAGTCACCCTCTGCCTAGCCGCCGACGCCAAGAGTTTTTCGCGTCTTCGCGCCGGCCCCCTGCAGAACAGCGGCTCTGCAGCCCCGGCCGCGGAGCCCTCGCGCTGCAGCAGGTGGCCCGGGGTGCGCCCAATTGGCAGGGCACGCGGAGCTGGTGGCGACGGCGTGGCCTCAACGGCAGGCGAGCGTTGGCAACGATGCAGTGCCCCTGCGGCCCCATTGGCACTGGCGTGCACACGATGCCGCCGTCAATCCCGACCACCTGCCCTCCCAAACGCGGCACAAAAACAAACGAAAGACATGCGGCTCGAAGGCGCACTCGAACCTCGTCGCTCCTGAATTCTCAAGCCGTTTTTGGGAACGGCCCCTGGCGACCCGCGGCCCGGATCGTGGGTTGGCGGCGTTGGCGGCCAGGGCGGAAGCGAACTTGCGTTGATCCTGACACCTGTGCCACTGATGCAATCCGCACATTCCACCAGGGCAACACAAACAAAACCCAGAAGCAAAAGCATCCACATCCGCACCGCACGCCCCACAACATCCCCCAACACTTGCTGCCCAGTCTCAACCGTCGACATCACTGGAGCAACAAAGACGGGGCAACCGCGGGAGCAACAACGACCATGAAGTTCCCCCCACGTGGGGGTGATGGCTGACTGCATCGATCCCACGTGATCAGCCTCTGACCGAGCCGCAGTGGCGATGCGTAGTCGATGCGGCGCCATCCTCCGACCCCATCTGCTCGGACCCCACGTGGGAGGCCTCAAGAGCGCCGAACGAACAACCTCCCGCCGTGTGACCTCTTCGCGCCCGAGGGGCTCCCAGGACGGCCGCTGCCCCCGCGACGGACCAGCTCCCCATCCTGCGCAGTCTCCGACGGCCCCGAGGCCCGGCGAGAGCCCCCGGGGGCCCGGGGCTCTCCCCTTTGAGGCCGCACCAGCAGCAGACCCGCACTCTCGCGGCGTGAGCGCAGGACCGCAGCTTCTCAGCCCCAGACGACATGGATATTCTCAACGGCGCCTCATGTCTACACTGGCTTCTGGCTCTATAGAAACAACCTTGAGCAACGCCCAGCTGACTGCCAACCCCCGGGGGCCGCAGACAGCGGCAGACCTCCGCCCCGACTTCCCCCGCGCAGTATCAGCGGCCCGAGCGCCCCACCGGCCGCGCGCCCACCGCATGCACTGCACGGGACCCAGGGCCGCCCCGCGCGCCGACCATCCCTCCGCCGCGGGCCCCCCCCGCCCGGCCGGGGCGCGCAGCGCGGGCCAGCACCGTTCCAGCGATCCCTCCCCAGACATGATCGCGTCGTAAAAAAATCAGGACGGCAAGTTTTCCACTATTTTCGGCCCTTGGGGGCCCTCGCCGGGCCTCGGGACCGTCAAAAAACAACTCAGATCGAAAAACTGGTCCTGGGGAAAGGGTCGGGACTTTCAGGGGCGCCGTCCTGAAAAAATCAGGACTTCGCATGTCTGGGTCTCCCCACTGGCATGGCCTCGGCCCCGCTGGCCGCTTCCCCCCCCCCCACAGCGATCGGGACGTGAGTGCTGCTCCCTGCGGGCTCCGCGGGGCCCAGCCCCAACCGGGGAGGCGGGGAGGCAGCGGCCGAGATGCCGCGGCCCGGTGGGGGATGGGGCTCTGCGAAGCGATACTGGCTCAAGGCCCAGACATGCGTCGCCCCGATCTTCCCCGTGCGCGGTCCCCGGAGGTCCCGGCCCTCTCCCCAGGACCAGCTTCTCGTCCTGACTCGCTCCTCGACGGCCCCTGGGCTCGGCCAGGGCCTCGACAGCGGCCGAACACGGCGAACAACCTCCGCCCTGAATATCTCTTTACGGCGCGATCCTGCCTCAGAGGCCTCCTAGATGGGGTCGGAGTGGACGGCGTCGGGGAATCGCGCCGCATCGGCGATGCATCGCCGAAGCATCGGCGATGCACCGGCTGCGTCGGCGGTGCATGGGCGCCGCCAGCGTGGGGGAGATCGGCTCCACATCGAGCCGCATCGCCGATGCATCGGCGATGCGGCGGATTCCTCCGACCAAATCTACTCCGACCGCAGCTGGGAGGCCTACGTGTCGGCCGCGGCTGCGGCCGTGGTTGGGAGGACGAAACCATCGCGATCTGGTCGTTGTGGCCTTCATCCCCCCGCCGCGGCCGCGGCCGCAACCGCAGCCTCGGCCGCGGCCGCGGCCGCGGCCGGGAGGAGGACGCTGTGGCGATTTCTCCGCGCTGGTCGGGCCGCTCCCCGCGCCGACTGCCCGCCGGCGGGCGGGCCGCCCGCGGCGCGAGGCGCGCGGCGCGGCGCCGCTGCAGCGCGGAGCGGCGGCCTCCCGCGGCCCTCCCAGAGCTGCCGCGCCGGCGGCCGCGAGCGGGCCCGGGCCCCCTCGGGCCACGAGGAGGAGGAGGAGGAGGAGGAGGAGGGGGAGGAGGAGGAGCAGAGGAGGAGAGGAGAGGAGCGAGGAGGAGGAGGAGGAGGAGGAGGAGGGGAGGAGGAGGAGGAGGAGGGAGGCAGGAGGAGGAGGATGGAGGAGGAGGCGGAGGAGGAGGAGGAGGAGGAGGAGGGGAGGAGGAGGAGGAGGAGGCGGAGGAGGAGAGGAGGAGGAGGAGGAGGAGGAGGAGGAGGAGGCGGAGGAGGAGGAGGAGGAGGAAGGAGGAGGAGGAGGAGGAGGAGGAGAGGAGGAGAGGGGGAGGAGGGAGGAGGGAGAGGAGGAGGAGGAGGAGAGGAGGATGAGGAGGAGTGAGGAGGAGGAGGAGGAGGAGGAGGAGGAGGAGTGTAAACCCAAGAGCCAGCAACGATGTTGGAATAAACCCTCCCTCCAAGCTCCCTCGTCGCAGGCCCCCACAACGGTTCATATCCATTGAGGGAGCTGCCTCGTTCGAAGACAACCGTTTGAAGACCCCGAAGCATGCCAAAACATTGTTCTCGGGATTCCAACGCCACGGATGAACCTAACTGTTGCGTCTCGACGATCCTGAAACGTGCCAGAACGCCATTCCTGGGACTGGAACACAGTGAACCAACGTAACTGTTGCACCCGCATCATCCTGAATCAGTTCGAAACACCATTTCTGGTACGTTGATCATGGAAATCCGTGAATGTGTTCCAACTTGTGTAAACGAATGTGCGCGGCGAAAATGCGAGAGCCACATTTTGAAAACGAACGGCCCTCAATCCGTGAAACTCTTACAACAGTTTAGAACGAGTGTGCGCCGCGCTAAAACGAGAGCCACATATTGAAAACGACCCGCCTTCAATCCGCTAAAGTATTGCAATTGTTCTAACGAATGTGCGCCGCGCTAAAGCGAGAGCCACATTTTGAAAACCACCCGCCCTTTATCTGTGAAACTCTTGCAACTGCTCAAAAAGAATGTGCGCCGTGCTAAGGCTAGAGTCACATGCTGAGAACCACCCGCCCTCTATCTGCGAAACTGTTGCAAAGTTTTGAGCTTCAGAATAATAAGATGTGAGGAAGACCAAAGCGAAACGCCCGGACCACCAAGAAAAACTGGCCTCAGGGTGCGACATTGAGAAGTTCTTGATCAGGAAATGGAATGGAGCAGAAGGAGGACGACGAGGAGGAGGAGGAGGAGAGGGAGGGGGAGGGGGAGGGGGAGGGGGAGGAGGAGGAGGAGGAGGAGGAGGAGGAGGAGGAGGAGGAGGAGGAGGAGGAGGACCAGTATAGACCCAAGAGTCATCCACGATGTTGGAATTCACCCACCCTCCAAGTTCCCTCTTCGTAGGCCCATACAACGGTTCATTTCCATTGAGGGAACTGCGTCCATCGAAGACAACCGTTTGAGGACCCTGAAGCATACCATTCTTCTCGGGATTTACGGATCAACCTGATTGCTGCGTCTGGACAATCCGGAATCGTACCAGAACGCCATTTCTGGGGCTTCAACACCGCGGATCAACAGAACTGCTGCGCCCGCATATTCCTGAATCCTTCCAAAACACCATTTCTGGTACGTTGATCATGGGAGCCAGTGAAACTCGCACAAGCGGTTCAAACGAATGTGCGCGGCGCTAAAGCGAGAGCCACATTGAGAAAGGGTACCGCCCTGAATCCGTGAAACTCTTGCAAAAATTTAAGACGAATGTGCGCGGTGCTCGGGCGAGAGCCACATTTGAAGACCAACCGCCCTCAATCCGTGATACTCTTCCAAATGGTTGAAACGAATGCGCGCGGCGCTCAAGCGAGAACCACACGTTGAAAACCACACGCCTCCATCCGTGAAACTGTTTTGCAAATTTGAGAACGAATGCGCGCGGCGCTCAGGCGATAACCACATTTTGAAAACCACCCGCCCTCCATCCGTGAAATGTTTGCCATTGTTTGAAACGAATGTGCGCGGCTCTCAAGCGAGAGCCACATTTTGAAAACCACCCGCTCTCAATCCGTGAAATGTTTGCAAGTGTTTAAAACGAATGTGCGCGGCGCTAAAGCGAGAGCCACAATTTGAAAACCACCCGCCCTCCATCCGTGAAACTCTTGCACATGTTGAAAAGGAATGTGCGCGGCGCTAAGGCGAGAGCCACATGTTGAAAACCACCCGCAATCCATCTGTGAAATGAAACTGCTGCGACCTTGTAAGCTGAGGGCGAGGGGGAGGAGGAGGAGGAGGAGGAGGAGGAGGAGGAGGAGGAGGAGGAGGAGGAGGAGGAGCACGGCGGGAGGTTCTTGGCTAATTATGTTCGGCCTCTATGGAGCCCCTGGGGCCCAGGCCCCCCCCTCGGGCCACGAGGAAGGAGCACGGCGGGAGGCACTTCGCTCTTTGTCGGCCTCCATGGGGCCCCTGCCAGCCCTCGGGGCCGCCTGCCCCCTCGGGGCCACGGAGGGAACACGGCGGGAGGTGCTTCTCGCTACTCTTCGGCCTCTGGGGGCCTCCTGCCGGCCCTGTCGGGGCCGTCCGAGAACGACGGGGGGTGGAAAAGCGGCCCCCGGGCACGGGCCCAGACCGCTGAGGGCCCACGTCATGACAGATGCACGAAGCCCTGGGCCTGGAAGCACGGGCCCTGAGATCCTTCGCGGGAGGCGAAGACACACATCCGTGTGTCCCCGCCCCCGTGGCGGCCTGGATTCTCGGGAGGGCTCCTGCGGATACGCGGCCGTGCGGACGCCTTCTGCGCGAGGCATCCACGAAGAATCGCCCCGCATCCGCGGGGTCGCGGCCCGAGGAGGAAGAGGAGGAGGAATAGGAGGACGAGCAGGAGGAGGAGGAGGAGGAGGAGGAGGAGGAGGGGGAGGAGGAGGGGGAGGCGGAGGAGGAGGAGGAGGAGGAGGCCCAGCCCGCGAGGCCGCGGATGCAGCAGGATATTGCGCCCAAGAACCCTGGCGCCGAAGCTCCTTCGGGCCGGGCGCTCTCGCCCGGCTCCGGGCCCCGGGAGCCGCACAGGTCGATCTGGCTCGCCGGAGCACACCGCAGAAGGGTGGGGTGCAGGGCTCAGGCTGTGATCCCAGACCCCCGACGTCATGGTTCTGCATGATGCCGGCCCCCAAAAGCCTCGACCCGTTCCCTTGGACCAGTCCTTCGTCCTGAGTCCCTTCTCGACGGCCCCGACAGGGCGGGCGAGAGCCCCCAGAGGCCGCGCAGAGGGAGGAACTCCCCGCCACGCTGCTTCGTGGCCCGAGGGGGGGCCTGGGATCCTTCGCGATGCTGCGATGTCTTCGCTCCGCGTCGGACCTCAGGGGGCGACGAGGCCGCGGCGCGGCAGCGGCGCGGCAGCAGAGCGGCGCGGCGCGGCGCGGGGCGGCGCCGCGCGGGAAGCGGCCGTCGCGGAGCACCCGCCCCGGCAGCGCTGGCGGGGAGGCGGCGCCCTACAGCAGCGCCGGCACCGGCAGCTCGGGCAGCGCCCCCTCGAGGCGGCCCTGCCCGCCCAGGCCGCCCGGCCTCGGAATCGGGCGGCGAGGCCCCACGAGATCCGAGGACGCAGCGGGGGCCCCGACCACAAGAGACCTTCCACGAGAAACCCAACCCTGAGACCCCAGGACGTCCATGGATTTCTGGTGTGTGTGTGTGTGTGTGTGTCTGAGTGTACAGGCGGATCTTGGACGAAAAATAACAAATACTCGAAGCATAGTCCCAAAACAAATCCAAGGTCTGAAAAAGAATCGCCCCCTGGCCAATCTTTAACTATGTTTGAAGATATTTCTCCTGTAGACAGGCACGCCCGACTTGATGTGTATCCTTCCGTGTCCGCCGCCTCTTCGTGTGCGGCCCGGCCGCCCCCTGCCGTGACGAGCCCCGGCTCAAAGAAATCGCGGCGGCCGACGGCTCTCCCAGGTGAGCGACGCAAACCACCGGGCCTTTACTTGGGGAACCAAAAGTGACACAAACACAAAAAACAAAAAAACAAAAAACAACAACAAAAAAAAACAAAAAACAAAAAAACTCGCAGGTCTGCGCGGATTTCTCGGATCGGCGCTGGGGCCCCCCGGCGGCGCCTCCGGCGCCGCCCCTGGCGCGCTCCGCGCGCCAGGGGGGGGGGTCCAGCGCCGATCCGAGAAATCCGCGCGGACCTCCGAGTTTTTGCACGTTTGCGTCACTTTGTGTTCCCTTATTTACGCGAGACGGCATAGCGATCTCACGCGGTGGCTTACGCCTCTGCCGGCGCGGCACGCTACGTCGGAAACGAGGGCAGTTACGCGCGACCCTGCGCGGGCAGCAAGCACGCGAACGTCGGCGCAGTTTAGCCCGTTGTTCTGCGTCACTCTGGTGTTTTGCCTCCCCAGGGGCCCGTTACGGGCCACAAGACAATCAAAAAATGATCCCGGCAAAGCAACCTGACAGCGATGTGTAGGAGCATATCTGGAAGCATTCCACTTAAGATTCAGATGAGAATCCAGCTGTAGAATTCTGCTGTTCTCGCAGTCGTAGTCGCATTCGCGATGACAGTCGCAGTGGCAACGGCAGTCGCAGTCACAGCCTCAGCCTCAGCCTGCCTCAGCCTCAGCCTCAGCCTGCCTCAGCCTCAGCCTGCCTCAGCCTCAGCCTCAGCCTGCTTCAGCCTCAGCCTCAGTCTGCCTTCAGCCTCGGCCTCAGCATCAGCCTGCCTCAGCCTCAGCCTGCATCAGCCTCAGCCTCAGCCTCAGCCTGCCTCAGCATCAGCCTGCCTCAGCCTCAGCCTCAGCCTGCCTCAGCCTCAGCCTCAGGCTGCTTCAGCCTCAGCCTCAGTCTGCCTTCAGCCTCGGCCTCAGCCTCAGCCTGCCTCAGCCTCAGCCTGCTTCAGCCTCAGCCTCAGCCTCAGCCTGTCTCAGCATCAGCCTGCTTCAGCCTCAGCCTCAGCCTGCCTCAGCCTCAGCCTGCCTCAGCCTCAGCCTCAGCCTGCTTCAGCCTCAGCCTCAGTCTGCCTTCAGCCTCGGCCTCAGCCTCAGCCTCCTCAGCCTCAGCCTGCATCAGCCTCAGCCTCAGCCTCAGCCTGCCTCAGCATCAGCCTGCCTCAGCCTCAGCCTCAGCCTGCCTCAGCCTCAGCCTCAGCCTGCTTCAGCCTCGGCCTCAGTCTGCCTTCAGCCTCGGCCTCAGCCTCAGCCTGCCTCAGCCTCAGCTTGCATCAGCCTCAGCCTCAGCCTCAGCCTGCCTCAGCATCAGCCTGCCTCAGCCTCAGCCTCAGCCTGCCTCAGCCTCAGCCTCAGCCTGCTTCAGCCTCAGCCTCAGTCTGCCTTCAGCCTCGGCCTCAGCCTCAGCCTGCCTCAGCCTCAGACTGCATCAGCCTCAGCCTCAGCCTCAGCCTGCCTCAGCATCAGCCTGCCTCAGCCTCAGCCTCAGCCTGCCTCAGCCTCAGCCTCGCCTGCTTCAGCCTCAGCCTCAGTCTGCCTTCAGCCTCGGCCTCAGCCTCAGCCTGCCTCAGCCTCAGCCTGCCTCAGCCTCAGCCCTGCCCAGCCTCAGCCTCAGCCTCACCTGCCTCAGCATCAGCCTGCCTCGCCTCGAGCCTCAGCCAACATCTGCCTCATAACGGCCTGCGTTTCAGCCTCGCCGGCTCGCAACGGCGGCCTCGGCCTCTGCCTCAGCCTGCCTCAGCCTCAGCCTGCATCAGCCTCAGCCTCAGCCTCAGCCTGCCTCAGCATCAGCCTGCCTCCGCCTCAGCCTCAGCCTGCCTCAGCCTCAGCCTCAGCCTGCTTCAGCCTCAGCCTCAGTCTGCCTTCAGCCTCGGCCTCAGCCTCAGCCTGCCTGCCTCAGCCTCAGCCTGCCTCAGCCTCAGCCTCAGCCTGCCTTCAGCCTCAGCCTCAGCCTGCTTCAGCCTCAGCCTCAGCCTCGGCCTCAGCCTCAGCCTGCCTCAGCCTCAGCCTGCATCAGCCTCAGCCTCAGCCTCAGCCTGCCTCAGCATCAGCCTGCCTCAGCCTCAGCCTGCCTCTGCCTCAGCCTCAGCCTGCTTCAGCCTCAGCCTCAGTCTGCCTTCAGCCTCGGCCTCAGCCTCAGCCTGCCTCAGCCTCAGCATCAGCCTCAGCCTCAGCCTCAGCCTGCCTCAGCATTCAAAATGTGGCCCGGGAATGGAGTTCTGGGAACTCGAAGAACACGAAGTGGCCTACCGTTTGCTCCGGGCATTCAAAATCATGCCCAGGAATGGAGTTCTGGGAACTCGAAGACCACGAAGTGGCCTACAGTTGGCTCCGGGCATTCAAAATCAGGCCCAGGAATAGAGTTCTGGGAACTCGAAGACCACGAAGTGGCCTACAGTTGGCTCTGGGCATTCAAAATCATGCCCAGGAATGGACTTCTGGGAACTCGAAGAACACGAAGTGGCCTACAGTTGGCTCTGGGCATTCAAAAGCATGCCCAGGAATGGAGTTCTGGGAACTCGAAGACCACGAAGTGCGTTACTGTTGGCTAAAAAAGGAGTCCCCGGTTTCCCGGGGGTTTCCGGGGGCACCCTGTCCGGATCCCGCCCAGACCCCCCTCGGGAGTCATGATGCTCTCTTTTGACCCTACTAGAAACCTATCAGTCTTTGCTGTTAGGTAACCACTCAGGATGAAGATCGGCCCCAGGGGGGGAAGGAGGAAGGGCGAGAGGTCTGTGGGCCCGCTGCTCGAAGAAACATGGTCGTCGGAGGTCCCGCGCGGCAACTAGTCCCACGGTCATCTGGTGGCTGTCTGTTCGAGACACGGTCTCCTGTAACTGTTCTTCGCACCTCTCACCCCGAGCCGACTTACATCCTGAGGCGTCCTGGGGCGGCCACGGGGCTCCAAGTCAGCCTCCGAAGACCGCGAGAGCACGGCGACACCGAACGGCCGCCTCGGTGTCTCCGTGGCGGATGCTGCCTGGGTGTTTGGAATCCCCCCATGGCCTTGGGGCCTGCTCCCCCGCCTCCTCTCGCTCTGCCCCCATCGCGCCCAGGGGCAGCATCGACAGCCACAGCCTGCCGGTGTGCGCCTCCTCTGAGGGACAACGACGGGGAGGGGGGGCGCTGGCATGCGAGGAGGAGGAGGCGATCGCAGAAGGGAGCGGGGAGGAAGGAGGGAGGAGGGAGGACGGAGGAGGGAGGGGAGAGGGAGGAGGGAAGGGGAAGTAACGACGACGACGACGACGACGACGACGACGACGACGACGACGACGACGACGACGGCGATACACCGGCGATTGATCGGCGACGGGCCCCCGACGGTGAATCCGCACGCTGCTGGGCGGGGGGCGGGCTCAATCGGGCCCCCTGTCGGCGGAGGAGTGGCCGACGGGGGGGTCGACGCGCCCCCCCCCCCATGTGCCCGTCCCCCCCCTGTCGTTGCCCCTGTTCCTCCAGAGGAGCAAAGAACAGCACAGACAGAACCTCGAAAGTTGACGCCTGTGCCACAATTCTATATATATATATGTATAAACATCTATAGAAATATCAAAAGCACCCACAAAATCTAAAGCACCAACAAAAACTCCCCCCTGATATGCTTGAACTAAACTACTTTTGAATATTCCTCCTGTAGAGGGACAGGCCCGACTTAACACTATTCCCCAAGCAGTGTTTGCGCCCAAGTGTCCTCACCTGTTTTCTAAGGAATCGGGGATCCACTGACCCGGGGCAATCCAAACCCGGGCCACTCACGCCTTTCAGGATCCTGCAAGGTCCTGCAGGATCCTGCAGGATCCTGCGCCCCAACCTAATCAATGCGCCCCTGGCACTGCAGGATCCTGCAAAATACGGCGCTTTGGCTGACCCGCGTTTGCACTGACCCCCGTTCTGCGACAAGCGAGGGAGGGAAGTGAGAAGGAGAAGGCCTTTTCGGAAGGTTCAGAAGTCCCCGGCCTTCTGAGAAGTCTTCAAGGCCTTCCCCGAAGACAACAAAAATCTTCTCAGAAGGCGCGAGGGCTTCTGAGAAGTCCCACCGCCTTCTGAAAAGGCCTTTCCTTCTCGCTTCCCCCTAGCTCGATGCAGACCCGTCTCAAGGCTCCCGAAGTAACTGGGCCTGGGTGTTGGTCCAGCTGGCGTGTTGCCGTCGTGCGCCGCCACTGTTTTTTTCTGGGCCCGGGTGTCGCTCGCCGCGCTGGTGACCGCCGTCGCCACCCGTCGCCGCCGTCTGTCGCCGCTGCTTCTGGGACTGGGTGTCGTTCGCTGCGCTTGTCGCCGCCGCTGCCGCCCGTCGCCGCCGCCCCGTCGCACCTTCCGTTGCATGACAATCGATTGTGATCGATTGCGACATATTACCCGTTCTTATTGAAAACGAATATATATATATATATATATATATATATATACACACACCTGTACATTAGTTATGTGTATATATATGTATTATATATATATATATATATATATATATATATACATATACATACATACACACATACATATACAAACATAACATCGAAAAAAGAGAAAGAAAGAGAGAGAGAGAGAGAGAGAAAGAGAGACAGAGAGAGAGCGTATCCCCTGGGATTATCCGTTCCCTTTTTCCGTATTGTAGCTTACATATGACTCTGCCCCATCGTCCATCCGAAAATATGAACTCATACCATCCCAAGCGAGCCCGTATTGCCCCCCACCGCCATCCTCTGTAAAAAACGACTGTGCGCGCGAATTCGTTTACCAAAAATCATCATTTTCCCAGAATCCCTGACAACAGCGAAATGCACAAGCGCGCGTCGCCGCGCGCGCATGCCGGAAACCTTCAAAAACTTTCGGCGTTGTAACGATGTCAAAATCGAGTGCCCCAGAAAAATACATATATATACACACACATACATACATGGTTTCGCAAAACGTGTTTTCAAACAACAAAAAAGGTGCGATTCTTCACATTGTTACAACAACCACATTGGTTCACCATGTGTAAAAAATGCTACCAAAGAAATCGTTTGAACGCCCTTGAGCCGATTCTGGGGGGCACGATCCGTGTCAAATAACACCATGCGGCTACTCTCGCGCGTCGGCCGCCCGCACATGTCGAAATCTTTCCAAAATCTTCATCACCGACGCGAAGACGCCGTCATCGTCGTCGGTGTGATCATCTTCGGCGCAGTCATTGGCCTTGCCGTCGTCATCGCCACCTTCGTCACCATCGCTACTCTCATTGCTCGTCGCCGGCGCGATCCGCATCGGCGCCGTCACGGGCCGCGCCGTCGTCGTTGTCAACATCGTCACCAGGATCGCCGAGATCATCATCGCGTTTATCGTGGTCGACGTTGCCATGATACCGCGCCCGCCCACGTCACCGACTCGCACTGAAGTGCCCGCTGGGGTGGTGGGCCCGGCGGCCAGCACCGCCGCGGCCGCGTCGGTCGCGCCAGACTAGCTGGCCGCTGCGCGAGATTGGGCCAGCGCGGCCGCAGACGCACCAGACGACGCCAAGCACCCATCACAATCGCCGCCGCATGGGTTTTGAGACAAAGGAAAAAAAAAAGAGCGCACCAATAGATCCCCCCAGATCATCCGCACCCTTCTCGTATTCCAATATACATGCGATTCTGCCGCATCGTCCATCCAAAAATATGAGCTCGCACCACCCCACGGGGGCCAGCATCGACGCCCCCCAGCCATCCTCTGCCGAAAAAATACGAGCGCACGCGTTCATCAACAATCGTCAGCTTTCAAAAATACCTCGTGAAAACCAAGACGAATTGCGCACGAGCGCGCGCCGTCGCGAGCGCGCGCCGAAATCCTTCAAAAGCCTTAGTTTCCGTAAAGATTTCACAACAGGGCGCCCCCCCCCCCAAAAAAAAAACAATAAACATATAGAAGCACACGGTTTCGCAACGCTGACATTGCCACTCAATGCTACCCAGCGGGCTTCGCGCGCCCATGTCGAAATCGCTCGAAAGCCCTTGCGCGCGTGCTGTCGCGAGAACCCTTTTTTGCAACAACATGGAAATAAGTGCACGGGCGCGTCGTCGCGCGCGCATGCCGAAATCAATCAAAGCTGCGGTTTCGTAAAGGCTTCAAAACCGAATGTTTCGATATAGACATACATAAAAACAAATACATAAACCAAATGATACTGGAGAAAAAACAAATTCATAATCTGTTTAGAAATACAGGAGATCCCCTTGCAAGTGCCCCTTACATTTATGCGATCTGCAAGGGCCACGGCGGCCACGAGGGCTATCGGAATACAGGGATATAAGGCCATGGGGCAATCATGCTTTAGGGCTATAAGGTTATAGGGCCACAGGGCTATGGGGCTATGCGGCTATAATGATTTAGGGCCACAGGGCTATGGGGCTATAGGGCTATAGGGCTATATGGCTATGAGGCCATGGGGCCATAGGGCTAGATGGCTATAGGGCTACAGGACTATAGGGCTATAGGAATATTGGGCTATAAGGCCATATGGCTATAGGGATATAGGGCCACGGAACTGTAGGGCCACACGACTACAAGGCGATGGGGCGCCCGGGCACCCGGGAACCCCCGGGCACCTCCAAGCACTTCGGGGCACCCCCGGGCACCTGGGCACCAGGGCCAGCCACCGAAACTGGCGGCGAAGCACCTCGCCCGATCACAGGAATCCGCTAGGACCCCTCCAGAGGCAAGCTCTGGTCGGGAAGAATGTTCCGCGGCAACAATGCTTCAAGGGGCCTGCGCTCGCTCTCTTGCGAATCCTCGAGAAAACCAGCGTTCTTTTGTTACCATGCCCATGGACTTCTGCCAAGCGGGCCTCTCGCGCCGCGCGCCGAAATCATTCGAACGCCCTGGCGCCCGCGCCCGGAGGGGGGGGGGTGGCGCGACCCGCGCCCGGCAGTGCCGCGCGGGCACTCTCGCGCGCCGGCCGCGCGCGCGCCGAACCCTTCAACAACCTTCATCGCCCACGCGAAGTCGCCGTCATCGTCGCCGACGCGATCAGCATCGGCGCCGTCATTGGCCTTGCCGTCGCGCCATCGCCACCTCCGTCGCCATCGCTACTCTCGCAGTCGCGCCCACCGCGGTCGGCGTCGCCATGATACCGCGCCCGCCCAAGTCACCGACACGCACGAAAGGGCCTACTGGGAAGTGCGCAGCGGTCAGCGCCACCGCCGCCGCGTCGGTCGCGCCAAACTATCTGGCCGCCTCGCGCGCGAGTATGCGCGGGCTAGCGCGGCCGCAGATGCACCAGCCAACGCCGAGCATTCATCGCAATCGCCACCGCTTGGGTTTTGCAAACCAACTTGCGGGAGGGTGGGCGGGACGCTTTGAGGAGCACGGGAGGCGGCCAAGCGCGGCGCAGGGCCACCAATTCTCCTTTCGAAAAAATCCGAGCACCCACCCACTCTGGACTTATCAACTCCGCCAGAACCCATGCAAAACGCAAATGATTCTGACCCAATGTCCATCCTACTTGCAAGTTCAAACTATCCCAGCAAAGCCAGCATCGGCACCCCCTGGGTCCCCTTGTTAAAAATACACGCGCAACATGGATGTTCAACACAAAGCGCGCTCGCTCTTGCGAGTTCTAAATAAAACTATCAGTTTTTTGTTTTCGAAATTTTCATAATATACGACTAAGCGGATTTCGCGCGCACATGTCGAAATCGTTCGAACGTCCTTGCGAGCGCGCTGGGGCGGCACGATCCGCGTCGAAAAATACGACGCGAGCCACTCCGGCGCGTCTGCCGCGCGCGCATTTCGAATCCAAAACCTTCATCCAAGACGCGAAGACGCCGTCATCATCGCTGGCGCGATCAGCATCGGCGCCGTCACTGGCTGCCCCGTCGTCGCTTTCAGCATCGCCACCAGCACCGCTACTATCATCATCGCGTCTACCGTTGTCGACGTTGCCGCGATGCCGCGCCCGCCCAAGCCGCCGACTCGAACTGAAGTGCCCGCTGAATGTGCCGAGCGGCCAGCACCACCGCGTTCGCGTCGGTCGCGCCAAACTAGCCGGCCGCTGCGCGCGCGACCACGCGCGGGCTAGCACGGCCGCAGACATGCACCAGCCAACAACCAGCACCATCGTTTATCAAAAAACCTT